AAGCTACATCACTACCAGAAGCGATGGTGGTCACAAACGATTTAACTAAAGTGAAAATCACGGATGAACATCAACCAAAACATTCAGGTCAACTTTTTATTGGTGGCACACTATTAAATGATATACACCAACTAGAACTCAATAAATTCTACGCGAAAAAACATCAAGCATGGCGGTTGATATACAAAGCTACCAGACACGGCTTCTCTGCTAGCGACTTTCACAGTCACTGCGATGGAAAAGGACCAACTATGACAATTATTCAGTCAAAAGAAGGAGACTACCTCTTCGGTGGTTATACGGCCGTCCCGTGGAGCTCAAAAGCAGCATTTAAAGAGGACACAACCGCATTTCTTTTCACTCTCACAAACCCACATTGTCAACCAGCTACACAGTTTCACATCGACGATAAACAAACCCATCGTGCGGTCACTCATCACAGCAATGCAGGACCAATATTTGGTACCAGAAATTCAATTACCACGTCAACGTCCTCTTCCCACGATAGCTTGATCAAACTCATCTCAAATTTCTGCCACTCCTTATTCTACAAAACACAAAGTGGTCTCCCTGGTAATAAATGAACTATCATTTCATTATGTTGTTGTTCGAACTAATTCATTTACAATCTCATCACTTTACTCACAAGATGGCTTGGCTACAGTCTCATTTACAACATCATCACTTTACACAGAATCGCTTGACCATAGTCATCCCATATTTTTGCCTATTCCTTATTCTACAATAACAAACTAGTCTTCCTTGTAATAAACGAACTGTCATTTGTTGGTGCTGGTGGTGTTCGAACTAATTCATTTACAATATCATCACTTTACTCACAAGATGGCTTGGCTACAGTCATCCCATATTTCTGCTTATTCCTTATTCTACAATAACAAACTAGTCTCCCTTGTAATAAACGACCTTTCATTTGTTGGTCGAACTAATTCATTTGCAACATCATCACTTTACTCACATGATGGCTTGACTACAGTCATCCCATATTTCTGCCTATTCCTTATTCTACAATAACCAAGTGATCTCCCTTGCAATAAACGAACATTCACTTGGTGCTCGAACTAATTCATTTACAATATCATCACTTTACTCACAAGATGGCTTGGCTACAGTCATCCCATATTTCTGCCTATTCCTTATTCTACAATAACAAACTAGTCTCCCTTGTAATAAACGAACTTTCATTTGTTGGTGGTGCTCGAACTAATTCATTTACAATATCATCACTTTACTCACAAGATGGCTTGGCTACAGTCATCCCATATTTCTGCCTGTTCCTTATTCTACAATAACAAACTAGTCTCCCTTGTAATAAACGAACTTTCATTTGTTCGAACTAATTCATTTACAATATCATCACTTTACTCACAAGATGGCTTGGCTACAGTCATCCCATATTTCTGCCTATTCCTTATTCTACAATAACAAACTAGTCGCCCTTGTAATAAACGACCTTTCATTTGTTCGAACTAATTCATTTGCAACATCATCACTTTACTCACATGATGGCTTGACTACAGTCATCCCATATTTCTGCCTATTCCTTATTCTAGAATAACAAAGTGATCTCCCTTGCAATAAACGAACATTCACTTGGTGGTGTTTATGGTGTTCGAACTAATTCATTTACAACATCATCACTTTACTCATACTTTGTCAATTGAAATTGTCATACTAAGCCGGTAGATTTAAATGTCAAAGAAATTGTGTTCAATTATAAGAAACGTGATGATGATCGTAGAGCAGGAGTGGGACTACAGAAAGTGACAGAAATATTAATGAAAGAAAC